AACACCAGATATTCGATATTTTCATGATTTTGGTCAAATTTGCATTATGGAATTTATTGTAATTTTTTAAGTATAGGTAAATATATTATGTCAACTCTATGTTATGGTACCCTTCGATATTCCATATTTTGATAAATTTAGTCAGATATGGTATTCTGGTATCTTAATGGGTTTTTTCATTAGGCTTGGTAAACAACAATCATCTTGGAATAGTGAAATTTTCATTTTAAATGGATATCATACCAAAAATAGGTAAAGAGCAGCTAAATTCGAGCGGGCCGAACTTTTAATATCGTCCAACATTTGGAAGGAACTAGAAAGATTTCAAACAAAAAAAAAATCGTCGAATAATACGGCTCAAATGAAAACCGTTATATGGGGGGTCTACGAAGTCGTGGTCCTGCATAAGTAATTTTTTGTCATCGGCTGTAGTACCGTTTCCGAAGTTCAAATTCTATTTATTTTCATTTATTTTCATTTATTTATTTATATGTTGCAATGAAAAAGCCATTAGGCCAATAAGTATCACAACTATCAAAACTACAAAAGTGTACTCCAAAATAAAAAAAAACATCTTAAAAATATTACATAGTGTATCTTAAAGTAACCTAAGAAATCATATGTAAAATATGGACAAAAAGGCTCCCCAGCCAATGAAAATAAATTTAAGTCTATTGCTGGTAATAAAAAAAAACAATATTTAATCAAACGATACAGTATCGTCAATATCATTAAAAAAACAAATTGTTAACCTCCATTTGCCTCTACAAAGTTTTCAAACATGCGGCGAAAAACACCGCGGGAAAACGAGAATTGTCGTAGCTCAGCTGGAAGCTGATTCCAGATTCGTGCGGAACGAACTATGAAAGATCTTTCATATAGAGACGTAGAAAAATGAGGGAAAATTATTTGCGTATTCCTAGTAGACCGAGAGAACACTAGCCGATCTCGCTGAAAACCAGGAAGATTTAAACAGATACATTTATATAGAAATGAAACCACGCGTTGTTTAACAAAAGTAGAGAATGACACTCCTAAAAAGAGGACTGCATGCGCAGAAATATGGTCAAAACGACGCAAATTATAAACATATCTTACAATGATGTTAAAAAGTTTTTCTAATTTCATTAAATACTCATGTGTTGTACCAGAAATCACTTCAATACAGTAGGAAATTACCGAAAATAACATAGAATGAGCAAGATTTCTCTTTACAAATAAGGGCAAATAGAAATCAGTTGAGTGTAATTTTCGGAGCATATTTATAACTTTGGGGTACAGTGCATCAATATGCAAAGAAAAATCAAGCTTGGCATCAAGAACAACACCTAAACAATTTATGCGGTCAACAAAATCCACCGCTACACCATTAACCTGTATATTAATACCGCTATTCAGTCGGCAAGGTGAACCAAATGTCATTGCTTTTGTCTTAGAAACATTTACTACTAGATTATTATTTCTCAACCAACGTGAAATATTACCTAATGTTGTATTTATGGTATTCTCTAGTTGAAAGTCTGATTGACCTTTAAAAAATAAATGAATGTCGTCCGCATACATAAACGGATGACAGTCGCAATTAGTTAGAATGCTACTAATGTCATTGACATATAAAACAAAAAGAAGCGGACCTAAAATTGAACCTTGAGGTACCCCGCTGTAAATATTACGTAAGCTGGATGCCTCGCCATTATATGAAACATATTGAGAACGTCGAGATAAATATGAAGCAATTAATTTACAAGAATTACTGTCAAATGCATATAATGAGAACAGTTTCTCAATCAGCATTGAATGATCCACACAATCGAATGCTTTCGAAATATCCAGCGCAACAAGAACACCACTATCACGTCCATCAATTGTCTCTCTAATCAAGTCAGTTAAGTCTACTAAAAGTGAAGTAGTGCTGAGACCGCGCCTAAATCCATATTGATAATTAATCAAAAATTTATTGTCATCTATAAATGATTGAATCTGCAGCCTTATGAGATGTTCGGCAACTTTAGAAAGCGACGGTAGTATACTTATAGGTCTCAAATTCTCAATAGTGTTCCTTCCTTTATTTTTGGAAATAGGGAAAACCCTAGCAATTTTCCAGTCATTCGGGAAGGTCGATGTTGTAAACATTGTATTAAAAATATAGGTGAAATGTCTAGAAATATATGGATAGATTAATTTCAAAAATTTAATGGGTACTCCATCAACACCTACAGACTTCGATTTGACCTGCTGAAAGGCTTCAAATACATCTATCTCGAAAACACAATTAAAAGAAAATGTATGACATTGTCTATCAATATCTGGAAAATCAACAATAACATTGCCAACACCATTTTCTTGAGTAAAATATTCATTCAAAACATTAACATCAAAGTCAGTTGAGAGGTTGACGTCATTGTCAACGATACCACCGGCATGAAGTTGTCTCCAGAGATGAGTAGCATTTAGTCCATTGAAAATTTGTTCATAATATTTTTTACGTTCCTTTCTAAGAATAGACTTAGCTTTGTTTCTGAGGGTTCGATACACCGCCATATTTTGCAGCGTAGGAAATTTTAAATAATTTTTGTACGCCATATCACGCAAAGAGATCGCCAGTATTATAGATTTACATTTCAGCCACGGATCCAAGGAATGTACAACACGCTTTCTAACGATAGGAACATATGAAAAAAGATTAGCAATAAGCAACTGGAGACACGAAAGCTGTAAATTAATATCAGATGTACTATATAAACTACTAAAGTCAACATTGACGAGATAATCAAGCAGACCGTCCCAATTTATATCATTATAGTTCCGAAATTCAAAAAAATGTTCTGCTGATGTCAAATTTATATTAGTGATACCAAAAATTAAAGAATGGTGAGAAATAGAAGGACATTGGACTTGATCAGAGGAGATAAGAGAACAGAGGTGACTGCAGGCAAAAAAATCAATAAGAGAAACAGAATCAGTAGCAATATTAAAATGGGTAGGCAACGAGTTATGAGTAATTGATATACCAAGACGAAGACAAACATTCCTCATTTCAGACGATTTTGAAATGTCGAACAAGTTACAATTAAAGTCGCCAACAACAATTATAGATTCGTATCTGGACAAAATATCTTCATGTATCTCCTCAAAGTTATGAATATTACCATGTGGCAAATAAACAACACCAAAAAGGACTTTACTTAAACCAAAAATAAGTTCTATAAACAAAGACTCGCAAACTCCAGGATTTTCAGAGCGAAAAACCACCTTATACTTAATATTTTTTAAAATATAAATACCTACACCTCCTCCACGAGCGCTAGGTCGGTCATTGCGGACAAATGAGTAGCCCGGAATCGCAACAGTTTTCGACGAAACGTAAGGTTTCAACCAAGTCTCGGAAACAGCGAACAACCCAAAACCACTATCACAAATAAGATTTTTAAGCTCACAAAGGGTGGTATTATAAATGGACGGACGCAAACTATGACAATTTAGATGACCAATGGACATACAATTTGAATATTGACTCAATCTGTTTTTGAAAAAAGACGAATTACCAACAATAGGACCGAGGTTATTTGAAATCATTGGAAATAAAAATAAATATTATGCTGGGGAACTTAATTGAAACCGAAATTGAGATCAAAATGAGATTATATATTAAAATAATTATAAAACAAAAGAAAAATAGAAAGAAATCAAGGCAAAAAACATATTCAAAGAAAAAAAAAATAAGATAATGAAAACTAATTCAAAACAAGAATATTAATATAACATTTGACTCAGGAAGAATCCTTAAGAACTACTCATACATTAGTCTTATTTAAAACAAACTGCGTTAAAAAAATAGTTAAAATCATTAATATACCGAATATTTGGGGGTATTATTATATGTGGGCTATACGAAGACGTGGACCGACATGGCCCATTTACAAATTTTACATTCCCAAGGGCAAAACAGACATGTTTGCACATACATATAATGCAGTATTAACTTTAAAATTCCTAATTAAGCGTATAAGAGGTACAAAAAATGTATGAAATACATAATTTATTGGTTGTTGAAATTCGTCCCGTACGTTAAGGACATTTAACTCTTTATTTTCGGTGCCATAAGAAAAAATTGATTGCTTTTAAAAATAGTTAAATCTTAAATTTTTGATAATAAAATTTTAGGAAAATGCAGATGTGGAAAATTTAAATTTTAACACTACATGAAATGCAAGTTTTTCGGACGAAGTATATACCCCTTTGATATGGTTACTTTTGGTCTGAAAATTGATAAATAGTGCAAAAAAGTGCAGCATGAGCTCAATTGTGAGAAGTTACAATATGAATTTTTTTTTTTTTTTTTTTTTTTTTTTTTTTTTTTTTGTCTATATATATTTGTAAAGTAAAATACTTGCGAAATATTTCTTGTATTTTCTTACTTATTTGTGGATTCCAGACACAAACAATTTGACAGCAAGAAAATACTTGGACTAGAACGCCTTTGTGTGACCTCTTTAAACTGGCCTTGGTCCTTCAAGTAATTCAAGTTATTTGTCTTAGGATCTCATTAGTCTTAGACCTTTGTGTTTTCTTGTGGTCAAAACATTTTTTTTTCGGAGAAGCTCAGCAAAAACATAATACCCATGTTTCACAAACTTTACATTATAGAAACGTAACTATTTGTTATATAATCTTTTGGCAGCAAACAAGACACCACTGCCTATATACCTTGATGTTAACCCTACATTTGTCTATTACAGATAAAGCTCATGCTTTGATAGCTGAAAAGTAAGAAAAAAAAACATTTTCTTACCCACGATATTTCTTTCCGTTTTTCTTTATCTCCACTCGTTCTAATTAAGCATTTGTCCATCTGTTTATGCAGAACACTCCGACATACTTGCAAATTTACATATTAGCAATCAATTTCTTAAATCTACACTCCTCTTTTTGTTATTGTACAATTATTCTGGCTTTCATGTTTATTTTCATTATTAATTAGTTTGTCTATTGTGTTACAGATCTGGCTTTTCGTACTCTGCTGACGTTTTCACATCACCTGTCGGCAACATTTTAAATTAAATTAAAATCAATATCAAATATTGAGGTAAGTTTTAAGCAATCCATTTAATCGAATATGAAAAGCATATTTGCATATCGTTGTACCAACCGCATCAATATGTTCTTTTAGATTACTCTTTGCATTACTTACACATATGTATGTAACGAAGTGTGTGTCTATTATTAACCACTCGCCTTGGCCACATAAATGCATACATATGTGTATAAATACAAGAGGGTATGTGTGTTTGTACAAATGTTAAATTTGTCCCCAGCAAACATTTACATATGTTGCTTTTTATCTAAACATCGATCGAAATGTCCATTTGAGTCTGTGTTTCTGACACAATAAACCTAAAGATGGGATAGGAATTTCACTTATACTGATGTGAGTGTGTGTGTGTGTGTGTGTGTGTGTGTGTGTTTTCGGTATTTGATGATATGACAACAACCGATGTATATGTAAATACTGTCGCCTGTGTCGCCTAGAAAGCCACAGAAACATTACCCACATCAATAAATCAAAGTCAAAAGGGCACAAAACCAAATACCAACTTTTTGCCTATCCCTGTCCTTGCAATTCCTTGGCTCCCTTTTTACGATGCCATCACCGGCAGACAGGCAGACAGAAAGGCAGATACAGCGACAACATTAACGACAACACCTATCAGACGCACACGTACATACGCAGAGATACGAAAACAACTAACTACCGAGTATGCATGGATACAATGTCTTGCCTCTATGACTTCTTTAAATGAAACTTTTGTATCGTCTCTGTGAGTTTGTTATGCACAACACTCTCGAACTTCGCTCCAACCCGTGCCACTGAGTTTGCACTTCATACACCATTGCTTGCGAAGAGCCTGTTTACATACACACGTATGTGTATGTGTGTGTGTGTCGTAGTGTGATTGAAAGTGTGTTTACCGGTGCACACTAGGTCAAATGACCACTTTTTCTGGGCGAAAGTCGAATTTCGTAAGGGCGATTTTACACTGATCATTGATGCCACCATGTAGAGAATAGTCCAAAATAACATAAACTTCACTTTGTTTTTGTAAAATGTCAAACACCGTTTGACAGCAATCCATCAAAGTTACACATGTAACACGTTATTGAAAGACTGTTTGCGCAGCCTATTATTTTCTAAAGTTTCAAATGCTTGTTTTTCATCCAGTTGAAATAAATGACGGAAATTTTGAATTGGAAGACAAAATTATTAGTGAGTACTTATGTCCCAGGTATTAAAAAGTGTAGATATCGTTTATTTACAAAAATAAATGCTGACTTATTTACATAACCTCAAATTTGTTTTAGTGATTTTAAATTACGAGTTCATGTAAGCTTTACAAATTTCGGCGAATTTCGGCAGACAAAAAGTAAATAGAAATGATTCAATTAAGATGTAGTTAATTGATTCTACTTTACTATAAACCGCACCTTTTAGCGCTTTTCAAGAAAAATCGTTTTTTCTAGGTTACCATGCTATAACAAAATGAGAGTTGTTTGAAGTTTGACTGCATGAATGTTCGTAAAAGGACAAGCTTAGCAAGCTGTTGTCAACTTTGTCGTGAACAAAATTGGTGCTGACGATATTTCCGAAGATTCAATGAAATTCTGGAAAGAAAAAACGCGTTTGTTCTGCAAATCTTTAACATCAAAAAACGAAAAATATGGAAAAATATTGGGTAGAATGCTGACAAATTTAGATTGGAAAACTGTGTTTGGCTTACGGATAAAATTAATTTCGAAATTAAAAAGCAAACTGCAAAAGTCAATTCTTCGGCTGTTGGTCACCCAAAAGCTCAATTTTGCAACAAAAGTGAATATGGAAAAATAAAAGAAGCATTCGAGCTTTCAAACTCAATAAACAACGAAAGAAACTTACTAGTACGTGCAGCAGCAACATCGTTCTAAAAGAAAGTTTAGCATGCCCAACTAGGCCCTCAAAAATAAGAAAGATATGTGCTGAAACCAATACAAAGCCAATTTTATTTTCTGCAGATGAGACATTAGCTTTTTTTTTGGAAAATAATTTTACAAAGGACCAATATAATGCATTACGCCGCGAAAGTAGATTAAGAAACTGAAATTATAGTACTTTTCTCATTACTTACTCAAGATGGTGATTATGTGACTAATTTTAAGGAGGAGGGGGAGATGACTGCTGGTATTTTAAAATGCAGTTGTGGTAGAAAAAATCGGTTAATAACTAATGTCAAAAATCAAGCTGATTGCACAATGTATTCTAAAACCACTCGAGCACCTACATTTATCACTAGGACTATTTAAAAAATTGGCGGAAAAGTCTGGTTTATGTATGCTAAATCATGTATTTTTTGTTTAATTTACTTATTTTACACTTTCTTTAACGCTTGCATTCATTTTAGTTTGAAATAGTACAATATTTTAGTTGTAATTAATTTCGCACAGAAAAAGTGGTCATTTGACCTAGTGTGCGGTGGCGTGTTCATGTAAATAATGTTTGTGTTGCCTGCGTTCATTCGTTTGTTCCACATCATCGTTGTCTACTCTCACTGCCTCTCTCACTCCCATCTGTTGTTGTTGTTGCTGCATGTCTCTTAGCCGATGCTTCAACTTTTGTTGTAATAGTTTTGTTGGCTGGTGTGTTTGTGCTGTTGCATTAAAATCACTTGTGGCCCCATTTTCTCTTCGTCGCCACCCCCTCCCGCATAAGTGCTGGTACGCGTGGGTTCACATGAAAGTTTACGCTTTGATACTGTGTGTGCTGGTGTATCACAATCATTTCTGATATTCCATGCGGTACAATAACACACTTCAATAAAACGTGCCCGAGAGCTGACAATGGGGAATTCGAACGGACAATTGTTGGAGCTGCTACTGGCGCTTGTAGCTAGCTGTTGCTAGCATCTGATATTACTGTAGCCAGATAGGGAAAGCGAGCTGAGCAAAATAATTTGCAGCCTTGTTTGTTAGCCAATATTGATGTTGCCGTTGGTCTACTTTCGTTTCTTATCGAACGAAAATAGATTGTTTATGATTGACAGAACGGGCAAGCGTGTGAGCGTGCTGAGAGCAAATTAACTTGTGTCCACATGAAGGAAGCTTCAAACGTTTGGATGTTGCAGAAATTGGCTCGAATGAAAACTATTCGAAAATCTGCTTATGATTTTAGTGTAATGAGATTATATTGGGGTAATTAAATGCATTTTTGGAAATCACTTGTGTAAATATGGGTCGAATTGGAATTGACCAATTTTGGTGCACATAAAAGGCAATGTATTTGCTGTATTCTTTAGAGATATATATTTGGGTGCAAAAGACTGATCATAAACATAACCAAGTGGTAACCAGGAGCTCCAAGTACCGATTATATAGCGCCTATAGGAAAACCTGCATATGCATATATAAGCCCAAATAGAAAATTTATGTAAGGGTGAAACCGCGAAATTTCCGCCTAATAGGAATTACAGCGAAATTCAAGACGTAAAGCTTTATGGGCCTTTATAAAAAAATATCAAATACATGAAATCAGAAAAAAAATATATGGGAGCTATATAAAATCTTAGCCGATTTCTTTATAAACTGGTAACTTTTTTTTTGAGTTTTTGCTGCTCTCTTTGGCAGTCCATGTAAAAAAATTGCGAAATTCACTAATTGAAACTATTATTGGGAAATAAGATTTTGTTCGGTGTTAAATAACAATTACTATTCCTATTCAATCATGTTATTTACAGTAATAAAATTAATTAATAGTTCCATAAAGTGGATGTGCCTGATGCGGGATGGGAAAATAGCACTACCGCGTCGTTTTCTTATAATATTTATTTATTTATTTAGTCGTGCATACTAAAGTTGTGCCTATCTAGTCAGATCGAATGAACTAGTTCCTCATATGCATATCTCTGCGTATGAGTGATATAACATTTATGAAATAACTCATACGTTTAGGTACTGGTGTACCGAACTATGAACTAGATTAACACAACTCTGCATACAAACACTGAATTATATTCTATACATTTAAAAAACGGTTTCTTATGCATTCTATTAATATTCTTATTATTTAATAAGCTCAAATATATTTTATATAATGATCGAGAATGTTCTCCGACTTCTGACCATTGTTTCCATAAATTACCTAAAAAATATATCTTAAATGCGTTATATTTAAAACAAAATGTTTGTGTACGAAAGCCCTAAATGTTAAACAAAATAGTTGTTTGGCATGTGTAGAACACAGATACAGGCGCTCTCACATATATGGGCACAAAACCAACCAGATTTTCATCTAATCTAACCGTGATTGACAGTGAATGACCCAAAGACCTAAAATGACAAGAGCAGACACCACAGCCACAACAGAGACAAGAAGATGATGATAGAATTTTGCAAGGGTTTGTTGGTGGTGAGGGTTTCTGAGCTACGACATTATTTTTGTGAATTCAACCGCATAGTCAAAAATTAAATAAATATATAAAACTTCTATACATTCACGTACACAAACACACAAATTGTACATAAATATACATAAATAAAGAGTGCGGTCAAAAAAGTCTGCAGCAATTGTATGTTTGATGCCATAAATTAATTTCCCTGACTAAGGATTTGTCTCTAGCTTTTCAAATTGCAATTGCAAAGTCAAAAGAGCCAGACACAGTATTAAAAATACCTTACGATACACTAACAATCGATTAGTCAGCAACATTTTTGAAGTTTCAAAGAATATATTCTATAATTATTGATTAATACTTATTCGTTTCATGCAACAACATTCTCAACATACCTTTATCCTTTTTTAGTTATTTGGTAAAAATTGAATTAATAACTTGTCGTAAATTTGCCTATAAGCAATACAAAAATATATACGAATACATAGATTTCCTCACGTACATATAATTTCAGCATTACCTCCTATTTTCTTTTTTCAATTATTAAATTCCTATTATATGAATATTTTTCCAGTTTTTTTCCTAGACTATTTACCATAAGTCGAAGAAAGGCAAAATAAATTTATCGCAACGTAAAAGGTAAACTTGCTGCAAATCCATGTAAATAAGA